TATTCTTAAAGGAGTAAGTAAAAACTCTGGTGCATCCGTTTCGGAGTTTATTTGCAAAATTTATTAATTATTTTGGTCCACCAGGCGTCTCAACCATCGAAAACTACTTTAGTTATCCTCGAACCTTTAAGTCAGGTAGATATATATTTATATCGTTCTATCGTTTCCATCTCTTTTGCAGTATTAGCAGGAGTCATGTACGTCTCTCTCAACACAATAGCCGACGTCAATATGTAATTGCCATTTATCATGTTATATTAAGGAATTTTCACACATTTACACCCCAGATCATAGAGTTTTTATCGATATAATTTATTTTGGCGTACAATCTGTAATACAGCAATGCTTTTATTAAGTGAAAAAAGAATGCAATGCCCCGACCACCGCTATTTAAAACACTTTTAAATGCCATATATTTATATGCATATGACAATGCAACCTCACGGTATTATATATAATTATGAAATATCTAAAAAGTTCGCGTTTTACTAGGAAAAACTCCGTACATTGCGATTTTCAGCTTTTTGATTCAACAGTGGAGGAGTTAACGCTCTTTGACCGAGCCTTTATGTTATGTTTGAGCTATGTATGGGAGAAGTACAACACCAAAAAAAAAATTAACTTTTAAAGACACACAGAGAAAAAAAAAGAATTGCGATGTGTTAATGAACTAACTCAAAGTGATTGATAAATATATAGAAAAATGATTAATACTGAATATTCTTTAATGTGCTCTTGCAATTAAAGTACCTGAAATATTTCAATATAGATATGGGTAGAATACAAGAATAAGGATGGATGAAAGATAAACTTCGTGTTTTAGCAATAATGAAGGCTGAATAAACTGTCACAGGAATTTCCACAATATTTTAAGTGTTCTGTGTTCTTTATCGGTATATATAGGTATAATGTGTTCTTTATCGGTATATATAGGTATAATGTGTTCTTTATCGGTATATATAGGTATAATGTGTTCTTTATCGGTATATATAAGTATAATGTGTTCTTTATCGGTATATATAAGTATAATGTGTTCTTTATCGGTATATATAGGTATAATGTGTTCTTTATCGGTATATATAAGTATAATGTGTTCTTTATCGGTGTATATAAATATAATGTGTTCTTTATCGGTATATGTAAGTATAATGTGTTCTTTATCGGTTTATTTAAGAAATGAATTAAATTTTTGAAGATTCATGAGGACTAGTCCGAAATATCTGACGTTTTCCAGGCTTTTTTACGATTTTGAAAACGTCAAATATTTCGGACTACATGAGGACATGAACTACGACACTTCACGCCTGCATATTTCATGGAGCGCGTTAGCGTTTCATGATAAATATGCCGGCGTGAAGGGTTGTAGTTCATGTATCTCAAGAATTTTCAAAAATTAAATTCATTTCTTATATTTACATTATTTTTCTGATTAGGTGCCACAATTCAACTGTCATTTTTAAAGCAAAACAGTTTGCACTATAGTTTTGACGTCAAATATGGTATTATGACGTAACAATGAAGATATTCATGCTCATCCATTGTAGTTCATGAGAAAATGAACAATGCTCTAATTTGCAAAGAATCTTAAGGAAATATATTTGGAAATGTAAATATATAAATATAATGTGTTCTTTATCGGTTTATATAAATATAATGTGTTCTTTATCGGTATATAGAAATACCGGTATATAATGTGTTCTTTATCGGTTTATACATAAATATAATCAATTAAGACCAATTAATCGCATGCAATAGGGACAAGATGTAGAGTGTTGTATATAAGTTAGGTGGAACTACATAAAAATGCCTTCTTAAAACAGTGCTCTGGTCTCTCACCGGTATTCACCGCACAATTATGATGGAATCAAAACAGTAAGCAGAATAAAATCTATATGTAGGTAGTCAGTTATTATCAATTTTTTGTGTTTTTAAACATTAATTCATTGATTTAAGGTTCATAATAACTATTCCTCTGATCATTCATACAAATTTTCCTTTCATGCTTCTGATATTTTGAAAGAAATCTTATTTATAATTAAAATACATACAATTTCAGCATAGTATTACCCTCTTGGGGCTAAGTTTGACAGAAATGACCTTTTACAGTGTAACATGACAGTTTTATAACGAAATATTTAATTGTCACTTACCCCTAAAAAAGTGTTCTCTATCAATGGAGACCCTAATGTTTAACATGCTTTAACTTTAGAGTTGTTCCTAAGAAATTAGCAAACTGGGTGCTTTATATAATTTAGTAAAAATCTATTATTCGGTCAAACCAAGTTAAACCTGACCACACGATATAGCAATTTTAGTTGAGTTATCGCTCTTTGTTCAAACCCTATAGGTAATGTTTCAAAATGGCCAAAAGTGGGTCTTTGCGAAATCGATAGAAAGACGAATTTATTCAAATAGGCAAAAATTCATATTTAAATCACATTATACATGTTAAGCAAGTTTTTGATAATATTTGGTCAATAAAGATGTCGCTAGAACTTCTTCAAGTGTGAAGGTTAACTCACCCTATCTGATACATACCTGGTATTCACCTTATATCTGATATATACCTGGTACTCACCCTATATCTGATACATACCTGGTACTCACCCTATATCTGATATATACCTGGTACTCACCCTATATCTGATATATACCTGGTACTCACAATATATCTGATATATACCTGGTACTCACCCTATATATGATATATACCTGGTATTCACCCTATATCTGATATATACCTGGTACTCACAATATATCTGATACATACCTGGTACTCACCCTATATCTGATACATACCTGGTACTCACAATATATCTGATACATACCTGGTACTCACAATATATCTGATACATACCTGGTACTCACAATATATCTGATATATACCTGGTACTCACAATATATCTGATATATACCTGGTACTCACAATATATCTGATACATACCTGGTACTCACAATATATCCGATATATACCTGGTACTCACAATATATCTGATACATACCTGGTACTCACAATATATCTGATATATACCTGGTACTCACAATATATCTGATACATACCTGGTACTCACAATATATCTGATATATACCTGGTACTCACAATATATCTGATACATACCTGGTACTCACAATATATCTGATACATACCTGGTACTCACAATATATCTGATACATACCTGGTACTCACAATATATCTGATATATACCTGGTACTCACAATATATCTGATACATACCTGGTACTCACAATATATCTGATATATACCTGGTACTCACAATATATCTGATACATACCTGGTACTCACAATATATCTGATACATACCTGGTACTCACAATATATCTGATACATACCTGGTACTCATGACAGGATAGGTTGAGTTCACCCTGCATCGGACACTCTAGTAGTTGTACAAGTTCTTGTGATGTCGCTACTGACCGAATATAATCAAAACGGAGCTTAATATGCCTTATGTGATTAAAACATGAAGTTGTGATAAAATTTTATACTATTTATTTAGAAAATATCATTAAAAACTATTTTTTTTTTTGGAATGAGTCAGAATTCACCATGGATCGTACAGTGTTCACCATGCATCAGACAAACGGTATACTGAATCGGAAAAAAAATGTCCTATCTTCGATTCATCGCAGTGGCCTTTAAAACACCTAAAATTAGGCCACCTAAAATGCTTATAAATTAGTGACATGATAATATTTTATGCTTCCTTTTAAAATTAACTATTTGTTTTAAATTGATTTACTTTTATTATTGATCCACAAATATATATATGGAGCGATTTCAGTTGCATCACATCCCCTTAAACAGACCTTGCAATGCCCCGTAATATATGTAAACATGCGCCTTGGTCTCTGGGGATATCATCTTTTAGTTTGAGGAGATAAAAAGAGCCCGCTTCTGGTTATCATAAATCGACAACTTGTATTTTCACTGCATATGATGAGTTAATATGTGTTACTTCTGCAAAAAACAGCTGTTAATTAGATATTATACATGAATCTCTATACGAAAAAGGAAGTAATTATCCATGCATCATACAATGTCCGATTCACGGTAGATTTTGTCCGATACGTGGTGAAAGGAACATAGCAGTAAAAAACAACTTTAAGAAAATAAATACAAATTATTAACTTGGAACTGAAATTTCTTGAATTTTTCATTAAAATTATCATTCATTTACAAAATTCATCCAAGACAGACTTGTTCCCCTACATGTTCGTCTGAAGAAAGAAAGACAACTCTCTGCAAAATGATGTAAAATATGTCGTCACTTCAAGACCAAAATCGGGGTATTTTTTCACCCCATGATCATAAAATCGGCTTTATTGAAAATTAAGTTTAAATCTTCGACTTTAAGACAGGAACAAGTAAAAGCACGGAGACATAGCAGGTTTCATTTGATGCAAGTTTATTGCTTTCAGTTGTCCAAAGCAAGGTATATGATGAACTCATCCTTACAGGTATAACCCTTAGGTATTTTAATTAGTTTGTTTGCATAGAAACACCTATACCTAGCCTTAACTCACTTGTGTAATCAGCCACCTTATGAAATTCATATCAAATGGACTCAGGATACATATGATATTATGGGGTCTGTTGGCCATATATTGAAAATTAATGATACCTTTAAGAATTCTCTTCCTCTTCTTCTTCTTTTTTGGAAAAGCAGCAGGCAAAGATTAATAGTTGGTACCGTATATAAATATTCAGAAGTTAAGACTAACATGTGGTTAAGTTAGTCCTATATCAAAAATATAAAAACGTCTCTATTACTGCTATACATCTAGCAAGTAGTGGCAATTAACTTGTGAACCCTTCATAAATCATGAACTTGCCCTCTCGTTTCAAGACCAACCATGAGGTTACGATTATGTATCTTGGCTTTTATTGATGCATAATATGTATATATTCAAAGACCTTTACTTCCTATTTATAAACGTCTAGGAGACATTCTCGATTGACATAAAAATGAAGCAAGAGGATTATTGGTGAAGAGGTTTCTTTAATAATTCACTAAAGGTATTACAAAAAATGTGACGTCGTATCCGGTCCGGACGATCTACCATTACACTGTCACAAGGGCTCTGTAAAAGTGCCAATAATTGTAAAGGGGAGATAATTTACCCGACATAGATCAAGGGTTTTCCCCCTTTGTTTTCACATCAAATATGAAAAAGGGATTCTCTTTGGTCAACCGTCTGTTTTAAACAGTGAGGGATTATTTGTAAAAATGTTACGTGACTGAGTTGCTCAGAGTCCTGCACTGAATGCCTCCATAATGATGTCTTTGACGCTTTCGTCTTCTTCCGTGACGAATTTGACCCACTCGCTGACAATATCCCTGAGAGGCACCAGGCCATTGGGGGCGTTATACAGAGAAAAGGCCTTCTTAATTACTTCCTCGTTCTCGTGACCAAAAGCTTTGAAGGCATAGATAAACTCGTTCAGTTCGATAGATCGATCCTTGTTCGTGTCGATAACGTCAAAGATTTCATCGAAACACTTCTGCATCTGTGCCTTGAAGCCTGCCTTATCCTTTTTATACGCCTCGCTTAAACTATTTACAAATTCACTTTCCGAAATTTCCTTTCCCGCTCCGGTCCGGAAAATATACGTATTCCACCATTTTTCAAAGTCGACCTTCACCCCTTTTGCCTTATCGCCTACAAGCTCGTGAAGATTGGTAAACTTGTTCCTAGACTCTTCCACGTCCTCAAATGAGATCTTACCATCGTGGTTGACATCAAGTGAGGCGTACCAGATCTTCCATTTCTTCAGCAGGTAGTCCATTCCCATCTTGTATGACTAACCTGTAAAGACAGGGATAAATGTAGGCCTATGAGTTGTGTGATTAAATATTTAGAACACGGGTAAATGCATCGTCGCAAGCCACGGGTTTTGTGTCCATTCTATTTCCACAAACCCGTGGCTGTCTCCTACCAAATTTTCTCGTTCTCGCGACTGAATCATTGAATATTTATTAAGTGACTCCAGATTTACCTTGACCAATGAAATCACTCTGTAGCAATTTTTGGTACGCTTAAATGGCGGCGCCCATAATGAAATCATGTTTGCTATGCGTGGCAGATTTATTGAAAAAAATACGATAGATCCTGAAGAACAGAGATGAGTAACGTATATTGTAAAATACTTACAAGGTTTTACATTAAAATTCAGGGTTTCGAATGTAGACGGTGTGTGAGAACGCTGATTAGCATTACTCGTTAAGAAAGGAAATTCGAACCGAAGTTGATGTACAGCTCGTGGTTATGGTTACATCCAAATACAAGATAGACTTATCATTTTCATTGGTTCTGACTTGAAGCGTCAGATGTTATTCCATTGGTTGAATGTATGTTATTAATATTCATGAGAACGAGAGAAATTTGTAGGAGACAGCCACGGGTTTGTGGAAATAGAATGGACACAGAACCCGTGGCTTGCGACGATGGGGTAAATGTAGGCCTATCAGTTGTTAAATATATAGAACACGGGTAAATGAAGGTCTATGAGTTGTGTGATTATATATATACATGTAGAACACGGGTAAATATAGGTCTATGAGTTGTATGCTTAAATATAGAACACGGGTAAATGTGCAGGTCTATGTGTTGTATGATTAAATAATATATAGAACACGGGTAAATGTAGATCTATGAGTTGTGTGATTAAATAATTATATAGAACACGGGTAAATATAGGTCTATGAGTTGTATGCTTAAATATAGAACACGGGTAAATGTGTAGGTCTATGTGTTGTATGATTAAATATATAGAACACGGGTAAATATAGGTCTATGTGTTGTGTGATTAAATACATAGAACACGGGTAAATGTAGTCCCAAGTCTCTAGATTTGAAGAAACTGGAAACTTTACCCAAGGTTGTATCAGTTTTCAGTCAGTCCACTCTAAAGATGATTAAAGCCAACATTTTTTAATAAAATGATTTACGGGAGCGCCGACTGCAATTTTATCAAAAACCAAATAAAAATAAAAGTCCCTGTTGTTGCTTTTATTTTTAAATTTCCCGCCGATCGTCATGCAATGCAAGTGCACTTAGAAAATAAAATAATGTGCAAATAAGTCGACAATTCTGATTGGCTGCTTTATTGAAAGCCATTATTATCATCCAATCAATTTACGTTTGTTATCAACTGTTTCGGAAGTGTATAAACGTGCCAACATGGATGCAGAAATGTCAAGTTTTACAAAAGTTGAGAATACTTTGTCCTTATACACGATAGTTTTTGCAAGTCAACCATAGCTAACAGGAAATAAATTAGAGTGTGTCCGATGACGAAGTTACTTTGGAGTTGAAAAGAAATTAAAGAAATGATCAGCATTATTTTACTAGAGGATATGTTGACTGTCACTTTCGCTGTGGGTACCGTATACAATAGTTCTCTTTTATAATTATGATACCTTTGATGAACATGATAAAAGAATGGAAATCGAAAATAGACGTTTGAATTCTGTGAAGAATAAAATGTGGCGTATCTAACTTGCATGTATATCCAAGAAACGTTTTCAAACTTGTAACATTTTAAAAAGATCATGCAGCACTGTACAGACTGAAAAAGTATTTTCTTGTGTGTTAAATAGTTTTTGAATATATATAAACAGACACGGCGAACGAAACGGTATTTAATGTGTTAATACTGTCAAGCTTTCAGAAGTTTTTAATATGCATAATCATATGCTGTATTGTAAAATACAGGTTTAAAACATGATTCTGGGTTTTATATTATATTGAGATTCTCTTTATAAAACTATATTTTCCTTTTTGATTTGTTGTTTTTATGATTTTTTGTACCTTGAGCATAGTGAAGTTCTCTTTATTAACTTTTTTCTTTGGTCATCTTGTTGTGGTCATGTTGAATATTTTGATAAGAAATTCCTTAGATTTTCTCCAATTCTCATTAGGGTTTAAAAGTCTACTTCAATTTTTGTATTGCGGTTATCATATTTTAAGCTCCACACTGTATATAAGGCAATTTTTATCGAATAATTGAAAATAAACATCTTTTCCAATTTTATTTTTTTAGTCGACTGCGTCAAAAATGGAATTTTATTTTTATTTTTATTTATCCCCCCGACCCAATTTAAAAAAAAAAAAAATCCTGTAAATCATTTAATAAAAAAATGTTGGCCTAAAGATCTATTTCTTATTCTCGATGTAAGAATACCATGTTGTCACCATCCTGTTCCATAAAGACCGTGATTTAAACAAGCACGCGTCTACTCGTTATGTATCTATGATACATGTAAGTACATGTACACGTTATTAGACAGTGTTAATGAATCAGGCTCTGTAGCTCCTTAGAGAGAGGTATAGTGACCCAGCCTTATATTTTCTACTCTTTCTTTCATAGCTTTTCTTGGAAAGGGTTACTGTTTTTTGACATTTTTACTGTGAAATATTGAAATTTATAAAAACTGATGTTATATACAGACGTCGAATATTTTTACCGAAAACAAAACAAAACAGAGTACTAACTCTTGCTAATGAAATAATTGCTATAGATAGCGAGAGCAAATAAACTAATCTGTCACTGACCAAAAGTACCAAGATTTTTTTCAAAATTCTTTTACGAGGTTTAATCCAAAACTGAAGACACAACTTGACAACTCTCCAGGGTCATAAAACTTAGATTAGCTCATATTTGATCTCAGTCTCATTTTCCACCTATATATTCCTTTTTGCTAAAGTGAAACTGAGAACAAAAGTGAGCTTGTCTTAATTTTTATCACCTCAGAGCTTGAGCTTTCATTTGAGGTGAGCTTAAGGTAGTTCGATCCTAGCGGAGTGGGACACATCCTTAAAAGACCATACGGCTGATTACAGAATTGCTGCCAGAGGGCACTCAAGTGACCCTTTACTTTTTATTAACCTAAAGCTTTGAGTGTAAAAAGATGATTTACATCGTCTCAATAGATATGATTTCTTTAACCTTTTGACCGTATCACACTCGTGTCTATGCCTCCGCCTAAATTACCACGCAGTAAATACAATCTAGCAGAGTGCTTGCTCATCTTTCAAACTAGTGTACTTTATACTCCTGTAAAGAGGCAGTGCGGGTCGGTCAACTTAGCTGATGTATATTTGAAGCAATTATTTTTTCCTCTTTATATTCATAATTCAGAAGCTTAGAGTTGAATATAAACATATAATGAGTCTTACAAAATTAATTATTGTATTGTACTTACATCATAATAATTATATACCTCATGTTTTAAGATTAAATACAATTAAACTTAATACTCACAAACAATTGAAAGATAATGTGAAGAAAAGTATTAAGCAGGTCTTGATGGGCGTTTTAAAAACACGCATTTCAATTTTCATTTGGACGTGAAATGTGCCCCAGTGTAACGTATAGAGTTACATCTTGGTGAACTTCTGAAACTGAAATCATTACTCTTATTACTTTATTGATTGTTAAATACCGTTATTTATCCATAATTCAATGAAAGTCTTATTTTTGAAAGTGATTTTTTTTTTTACTGTGAAAATATCAAAACTGCAGCAAAACTCGATTTTCATTTCCTACACTCCTACAATAAAGAAAGATCAAGTAATGAACTGAAAATTCAATATTCAGTAGTTGGTTAGGGAATTTGTTTCACTTGTGAGGGAGGATTTTTGATATTTTTTATTTTGCTTCGCAATCGTAAAAATTTGGGAAAAAACATGTCGCGCTCGTGAAATGAATTCCATATCCAACTTTAAAAAAATTGAATATCCTCTTTATGTTACAATGTACAGTTCAGCTACTGATTAATTTAATTCAAATCGACAAACTGACAGTAATATAACTCTACATCGGTTGTTGTTTATTGCTAGCGCTCTCGAGCGCTAGCAACTATGTTAGTCTATATTTCTGGAATACGCATGCTCGACTTCACGGTCGGGCATTCTGGGAAAACTACTGTAGAAAGACTGTGCGATAACAATTTCGTTTTGTCATACAAATATAGATATGATCAGAATTTACACTAGCCTTTCCTGTCTGATATGTGCGATATACCGGTACATTTCTTACGTTAGAGACAGACAATACCAGTCTAGATCCGGATTCTGATTTTTTTTTATTTATTGTCTAACCTACACATAAAAGTACAAGAAAAACTTACTAGGTCATATAATGCCAAGATTCTAGACATCTAGCTTTCCTCACAGTTACACCACCTTCCTGGATAATTTCGGCAAGCTCGGATAAAAATCTTTTCAGAGTATGTCGGAAAGACATGTCAGTTTAGTTTTTATCATCTGAAAATACATATGATCTGAAGTTTCGTGTTTTGTTGTCCATCCTGCACGTAAATGAACAAAAAGTAACAGTTACTCGGGTCTTATAAAACGAAGACTGTTATTTCTAAAATTGTAATGAATATCTATCTTTTCTAATCTACCTTCTTTGATTTTTCCGGCAAGTTCGGAAAACCGCCGCAACCTCGGATATGTTTACCGAGATTGCCGGAAAGTTCCGAGAAGATGCGATTGCTAAAAAAGCAGTACCACACTGGAATATTTTATGCTTAAAGCACAGTTAGGAGTTATGCCATTGCCGACGTGAAGCTCACTCTTAGATTCACCATTCTGAATTATGACCCCCCCCCCAACTCAACCCCCCAGTGCTCCATTGTGCCTTCTTATTAATAATTAATCGATTCAGCAAATTTAACAAATGGTTCAGATATCTTCTGTATTTTATTATGCTACAGCGCTAGCTCACCAATCTTTTTAAAAGATAAGCTTGTAAGGATATAATTACATTCCACATGTATTTTGCTTACAAAATGTGTGGAACACTTCAGTCCAATAAAAGAAATTTATTATATTGCTAATAAATAGTCTATTATGAAAAACTACTAAACTCGGGAGAATTTTAGCGTTCACTATCTTGGCGTTTTATTGAACGCTGAGTCTGTATTACGTAAATGAGTATACCCGAAACATTCCGAATACGAGCGCTCAATATCAAACGTTCCCGTTGTAAACAAAAAATGTCGTCTGGTCAACCTCTCAAAGGCAAATTTATGAGAGGTAGTGGCAGCTTGGTGGGATGTGTTTATTTTCACACAAAATTGAAAATATTTATTAATAATTTAGTTAAGAAATAAGGTATCATTTTAAAAGTTTTATCGGGATGTAAATACGGGTTGGTCATGTGATCAAATTCCATAAAGCCCGAATGGCTTTATGGTAGATTTGATCACATGCTAACCCGTATTTACATCCCGATAAAACTTTTAAAATGACACCTTATTACTTATATTTACATTTGTGACTGATTTATTGCAAATAGTAAGGTACTAAAGTTTTAAACCCATAAATGTTGTTTTTTTTTTTCAAAACTCAACGGTATAAAGTTAATGTGTTGAACACGTCGATCACTTATGACGTCACTATGAAATTACGTAGACCGTTTATGACTAAACAATCAATTTATGGTCACATGACGAACGTGTTTTACACAGGTGTAAAAACGCCTGGTTCAAATAGTGTTATATAAGGAAAAACATTTGCAAATGTAAATATTACGTATTAGCCTCAATAAAACCTCAATAAGCAAAGCATAACACTTGGTAGGGTCATTGGAATGGTGCGATATTGAACACTTAAAGGACAGACGTTAATTTAAATACCGATGCTAAAAAATCTTATTAATTTTAGTTATTTAATTGAAATAATTAATATAAATCAATAGGAGATGTTTTAGCTATATAATAAAGGAGTTATTGAACTTACATGTATATTGGTGAATATTGGCACTCGTTGGCTGTACAAATACACTCGCAAGCTCGTGCATTTGTACAGCCAACTCGTGCCAATATTCACCAATATAAGTTCAATAACCCTATAGAATTTAATTTTATGAAAATTCATGAGGACATGAACTACGACGCTTCACGCCGGCATATTACATGAACCGCGTTATGCTTCATGATAAACATGCCGGCTTTGTAGCTCATGAACTTTATGAGTTTTCAAAAATTAAATTTAAATCATAAACTTACATTATGTATCTGATAAGTTACCGCAAATAATCCCATTCGACTGTCATTTTTAAAACAAAATTTCGTCTATGGTAAGTCCATATTATGACGTAACAATAAAGTATTCATGCTTATCCATGGCAGTTCATGAAAAAAATTAACTGTTTGATACTTTGTAAAGAATCTTGAATGAAAATAATTGGAAATGTAAATATTATACAACACAACGCGGACGGGGAGGTCAAAAGGTTAAGCTCAGAATTTTATTTTGACGTTACAAACGCTGAACGCCGTGCAAGTGCAACGTCATGAGTGAAAATCAAAATCCACTTTCACATTAAAGAAGTCAACCGTAGTAGCTATAGGAATGGCTCTTCTAATAATCGTAATTTACCCAAATGATCTTTTAATATAACTCACATTTGCATATAAGGTAGTGATTTGAAACATGTAAATATAGAATGTAGTCTCAAAACTGCAACGGTGTGTGGAAACAAATTTTCATAACGCGCAAAGGCGCGTTACGCAATTCTTTGCACATACTGTTGCAGTTACGAGATTACATCTTTCAAAAAAATATTCATGTTCACGTTGAAGTAAATTCTTTTTAAGGAATTTAAAAGAAAAATCAAAACTTAAATAAAGGGGAGTAAATTGAACTTATTGACATAGCAAAACTCAGTGTATTACTATAACAATGGTAAGGACTGATTTTATACTGTTCATTGTTACTAGATCTGACTCTAGTTATGTGTCTAGACTTGGTTTTTTGATACCTGTACCTCAGGGAAATTTCACAAGATTAGTTTAATTTAATAATGATATGCACGTGGATTAGGAAAACACGTATATTTATTAAAATAACTCATGGTAATAACAAAAAAATATCAGGATAAAGAGGTAAAAAGTCATATATTAGATCGATCGACCAAATTCTTTATCGTCATGACGTCAGATCACTCGAATAAACCCAGCTGAGCATTAGAGTAAGTTAAAACAGGATGCTTTTTTTCTGCAGATGGACAACTTTTGATTTTTCTCTGTCTTGACCTGATAATTCTCTGAACTACAACAGGGAGTAGGAGGTAAGTATTATTACGTCATCTAATACGTCATATCTATAGCTTAAACTCCGGATTCAAATGCCTCGCGCACGACGTCACGTTTTGAGCTGTCCTCCTCGGTTACAAATTGGACCCAGGCAGTAACAATATCACGGAGTGGCACCAATTCATTATTAAAAAGTTTAAAGGCCTTTGTTACAAGTTCTTCGTTCTCGTGTCCAAACGCCTTGAAAGCAAAAATGAATTCGTTGAGTTCGATGGAGCGATCTTTGTTTGTATCGATGACGTCGAACATGACGTCAAAGCATTTCTGCATATGATCCTTGAAGGCTGCCTTATCCTTGTTATAAGCAGCCGTCAGATTAGAAAGAAATTGATCTTCAGAAATTTCTTGATCTTTGCCGTTCAGGATGTATGTTGTCCACCAGTTTTTCATGTCTGTCTTGACTGAGTCGGCCTTGTCGCCAAGAAGATGGTGAAGTTCCGTAAATTTATTTCGGGACTCCTCGACATCTTCCAGCGAGATCTTCCCGTCATGGTTGACGTCCAGGGACTTATACCACATCTTCCACTTCTTGGTCAAGTAGTCCATCTTTTATTAAAATATCTAAAAGTCAAACAGAAAATATAACTTGTTATTTTGTAACTATTTCAGCTACAAAAAAATGTTGACTCTACACAAATGGAAAGAAACCAGAACTGCTCAAAAATTTAAATTATAAGCATTAAGTATCTAGAATCAACTCCGATTACAAATTGTTAATCTTTTCATGGTATTTCATTTATAAATGAAGTTTTAAAGTGTGGCTTAGTCAATGTTATTTTTCATCATTCAATTTTTGTTCTTGTATTATTTATATATAATAGCATATCTTAGATTTTAGATAGTTCGATGATAAGTTCGTAAACATGAAAAGCACTACAGCAGCTGATGAAAAAAATATGCCGCCATAACAGAAAGAAATAAATCATCGCACATCTTAAATTATCTTGCAATGATGTTACAGCAAAGAAATTGTTTTAAAATGTATTCCCGTAAGCTTTACTTTTTTTCTGTCAAGCATGCACAAACATTTTGGCAGATCTATTAAAGCGCACATGTGCAGTAAGTTTTGCGTCCTCAGCATTACATGAGGGGAAATATGGAACTACTTTCGTGACGTCAGTATACAAGGTCACACGTGGTTTGTATTTCGCTGTAACCCTACACGCGTCGCTTTCCACGGTGATGTTCGCTGAATCTGCAGCGAATTATATTTCCGTGTGACGTGCAAAATTATAGACGGAGGTTTGAATTCCATGTTCTCTTGATAGAGACGGACACCGAATAAGTCCCTAGACATCTATAATGTATAACACGTGTGCTAGCAGAAAGGCAGGGGAAAAAATAATATCTCAGCGAGGATCGTATACAATGTTGAGTCTTCAGTTTGTGTTAACAATTAATACTTCAGTAGAACTATCAGCAAGGACAGAATTAGGGGTGAAGATGAGTACAGAAGACTAACACCATTTAGTGTTGAGGCTTCGGAAGGGATAAAATAATTTTATGCAAAAAATTATAATTAATTTTTGTATAAACGGGGACCATTTTTGGAATGATAAAATCAAACTGTAGAAAGCTTTATGTATGAAAAAGAGAACATAAAAATTAAAGTGAGCATTTTTAATTAAATGTAGATTGACATATTGTATATATTTTAGAATCATCCAATCATTGAACTGGCAGTTTCAGTGTCCTATTTTTATTTATTTATTTATTTATTTTTATTTATTTATTTTATTTTATTTATTTATTTGATATAATGCAATTGCAATACATTAATTTTGAAGACAAAAAAGTAACGTTATTACAGAATGTAAAATAGTTATTTGACGCTTAGATAAACTTGATGAAATAAGAGGTCTTAAAGAAATAAATAAACATTCTTTCCTGGAAACGATTCGTGTAATGTAATAAATTGGCACTTGAATATATACATATAAAATAGCATCCTTGCGTTTTTCATTAACCAAGATCAGAAAAAATGTAAGCGATTTGAACTTAATGTTTATTTTATATTAAAGGTACGGCAGACAAAACATTGACAGAGGGTTTTGATTATGTGCAGAGTTAAACGTTGATCGTTGATAAATATACAAGCCATTGCGGGAAACCAAGGATCGCAAAGGACTCAGTGAGTTTATGTATTGATTACCAAGGGGGAGAACTGCGCATCAAGAACAGGAACTTGTACAAACAAGGATAATGTATAAAGATTTTCCCTCTCAGTTTATTCTCGATGATATATATTTTTTTACTCGATAAACTGGGTTGCGGTTGAGAAATATATTAAACTTTTAGTGAAAAAAAATCCTTTATGAATTCATCAGACGAATCGAAATACCAAGAAAATAAAAATTAATTAAACTCTTTGACATACATATTATATATTTAGAAATACTTTGTTTAATTAGACGCATACGAAATAGGATTTAATTATACTGAACAGTGGCGGATCCAAGATTATTGAAAAGGGGGGAGGGAGGGGGCAGCCTATTGGAATAGGAGGTGGGTGCCTAGGGTGCCCCCCAAATCCCCCAGATGTCTCAGGTTTTAGGAGTTTTGTAGAACAGTTTTTTTAAATTTATTTATACTAAGTTATATTTAACGTATAATTTATGCATTATCCCATATAAAAATTATTTTATTTTGTCTATTTTTGTCACGAAAGGGGGGAGGGGAGGGGGAGGGAGGAAGGAGGGCGAGCCCTCTGCCCCCTCTAAATCCGCCAGTGTTGAAGAGGAGAATTAGTTCTCCAAAAAATAAGAAGGAGATAGGCAATGATCCTAAATACTCTTTTCCTACGGGGAAACTTGTTTTAAAGAAAAAAAAAGAAAAATCGAGGATTTTTAAATCTTATGTTAATATTTCGTTTCTTTGATAACATATACTCTCTTTGCAATAATGTTTTTCATTATGTCATGAATAAACTTCAGCATCTCTCTGTATATGTTTTTTTCTGCTTTAGTATTCATTACAGACTAAAAATATCTTATTCTAGATAGAATCTTTATACAATTACATCGTCATCATTTTCCTCAAGTTAAATATTTAGCCTCCCTTGTGTTTGTGGCTAAGTACGAAGCGATAGCATGGCAGAGTCCATTACAGAATTCTGACACCGTTTACGGGACTAATTTGACATCGTTCACACATCGTTATAACAGTTACGTTAATCATCTATAGGGCTTCTCCTCGTCATCAGCTGTTTAGACACCGAGATAAGAATCAATTCTCACAAGTAACGTAAAAATAGGAATTTATTCAATAAGGATGACAGTGTTTAAGAACTACTGCATGATTGCTGAATACGAGTTTTTAAATATATGATCCGTTCATCATTAAAGCAACCACCCCAGAAAGCCCCCCCCCCTTCCCTAAGAAAGTACCGTTCTAGAAATTAAAAAACCCAAACAATTAGAATACAATGATTACGCGGCTTTCGTTGGCTTATTCGCTACTATGATACATGTACTAGTGAAGAACAACTTTTGACACAGTGACTATATTCGTCATTGAACTGTACTCACAACAAGAACTGTACATGTATACAGTACAGAACTTTATATACAATACGGTACTGAATGTACAACAATGTACAACACAGCCCTGCATTTATACAATGCCGTATTGCATTATTATACAACACTGGGTCCCCGTTTTACTAAAGAACCTACGGCTTAAACAAAAATTCAATTTTGCAAATAACTCTGTTTTTTTTTTAAATTAATTTGGAAATCTTTTTGATCTTTTTGAAGAAAATTTTGGAAGATATATTCATGAATACAATTTTAAAACAGAATTACATGTATATATTTTGCAAGATTTTACAAGAAACTAAAGTTTTTGGTCTTCGTTCTTGTTCCTTTAAATTTTGATAAAGACGTTTTTTTTTTCTGAATTCCAGACAAGTAAAAAAGCCCCCAGCGTATTGGTTATTTTCTAACTAATGCGCTTGCGATAAATACCTGTCTCATCACAGTAAAAATTTCATACATTTCCTCAGATGCTAATTTCTGGCGCTTAACTAGCAACACTAACCTAATTTTAACATTTTATAACTCCACTGACTGTACAGCATATAAAAAAAAAATAGAAAAACAGGTACAACATCGTACAATGTGAAAGAGAAAATGCATGGAAACAAAAGTGAAAGCAGAAGCAAAAAAAAAAAAAAAAAAAAGCAAGAATGCATGCTACAAACAGAAATAAGCGAACCTCGCGCAGCGTTTCTCGTCTTTTATAAGAGCTACCTCGTTGTTTCGCCAATGCATTGAAAGCTGGATATGTTTTCCGCACTGAAGCAATTCGTGATTCTACTACATGAACCAGAGCAATGCGATACTCTAATGCGATATATACAACATGTACCAGAGCAATGCGATACTCTAAAATGATATGTAAAACATACACCAGAGCAATGCGATACTCTAATGTGATATATAAAACATATACCAGAACAATTCGATACTCTAATGTGATATATAAAACCAATGTCTCTACGTAGAAAGCATTCATTGATATAATTGAACAAATTCACTGAAACATCTAAAACAAGGTCATGGCCAAACGTCTGTAATGTACGTAGAATAAGCTATTTTATGTGTATATAGCTTTTTAGCTTAAGGTCTGACGATACGTTCCTCAAATATATGTTATGTATATCTTCGTAAAGTATGAAAACTATTCAAAATTTTAATTACTTTCTTATTTCTAAACCAGTTTCTAATCGTCTTTAAAAAATCCAAACACTAAAAAATTTGATTTTGGCAAATTAATTTTTTTTCCAAAAGGATTATACAAGAAAAACTATCCTCTGGTATCTTGCACAAATGCCTGGTAAGGTACCTCAATTTTTTGATGAGTAAGCATGTTAAAGTAGCAATACTTCAATGACAAAATCTTGGAAAAAAATATATATTATTGAGGAACGTATCGTCTGTCCTTAAATGAATATGGGTAGTCTGATAAACTTTTGGAAATGAGAATCTAAGATAGGCAGCTAGGCTCACAGTAAAATTAGCAAAAATACGTATTGAATTGTGTGTGCATCTCTAAAAGCTTTCTGTTAATTAGGATACATTTCAGTTACCTATTATACCATTTATTTATTTATTTATTTTTGTTTTGAAAAGAGATATACAGAGTATGTATAAATTCCGTGACAAAAGGTTGCTAATTTTTAGTCAAAATTACCTCGCCCAGTAAAGGAAATATTTTTATACAGATTTGAACAATAAAAATTTGTTTTTTGAATTACTTCCTAGGGTCAATGCTAAAATGAAATACGCATCGCTGACCAGCGCGGTGCGCGCATTGTGCTTTTTTCCCGCCGTAGCTGGCGTAGCTTTTCCGTAGAAGGATTATCTGCCCTTGATTATTCCTATTCGCTGCCTATAGAGCGCGCACGATTGAATCAGGTATTAGCACGTGGGTTTTGCTGCCATAAGCGTTCCGTCAAGCACAGAGGCATCCAAACAAAAGAAATGATTTACTTACCAATTGTATAGGACTCAGGTAACGTGAAAGATTCGTACCAATCGCTGAACGTGTATCTAAAAAAAAATCTTTAAAACCGCGGTACGTCATTGGAGAATTCCAAGAGCCACGTGATTTTCCGAAATTCAAATCTCGAGATCCATTGATAAAAGAAATATAACTAAAAATAAAGATTGCATACCAGAAAGAAAAGTAGAAAACGAAATAAAAGAAAATAAACTAACAACAGAAAAGAAATATAGAGAATAATAAACAAACAATATGTAAAGTATTACAAAAATAAAACCAATGTTTATAAGTATAGAGAATGAAGAGGTTCGTATTACACGTATTCAGCTATCTTCAACTTCACTTCTACAGATTTGACGAAACTACCTGGTAAAAAATCAATACAGACTGAACTTCAATCAGAAAGTAAACTGTGACAGTTTCCAGTGGGAATACATAATGTACTTATATTTCTCTGTGTCTGTCATCTCAGCCGAGTTATACCCAAAAGAAATTACATTTCCTGTTGCTGCAGACGACAATTGATCGTTGTGTTACTATATTTTTAATAACTCTTTTAAAACAATATTGCATTGAGGAAGAGTACAGGGAACTATAGACATGTATAGTTTTTTTTTTTTAATAACATACTTATTACTTGATAAATTAGATAATAAATGTAATCAATTCATGCAGGTTCAGATTTCTAAGAATTATAACTTATAAAAAGATAATAAAAACTCCGTGCCAATTAAAAAACTCTCATTTTCGTCTTGAAGCCAATTATTTTATATACCGGAATCAGAATGTAGACAACATATTATATTTCTTCTTATTTCAAAATGAACAGACTCAGGTTAAACTATAATTTCTTCCGCACGAACGTCAAACAGAATTTTCTTTCTGTGTTTGATTAATTACTCAGCGCATTAATTACAGCTTTTTGTCAGTTAACAGACGTTTATTTTCCCCTGGTTTTCCTATCTTCTCGCGATCTTGTAACGAGATGTGATATACACGCGCGGTAATTCAGCACGTTCTGCTTGATCAGAATAAACAGCCTAATTCCTGCCATATGTTCAAAGAAGAAATTATATCTCATGCAGTTTATATCTATTCATTTATTCTGGCTTTTATTTGATAAAACATCTCTGGTACAAATTACTAACCCAGATTTTCACTATACCTCATATTACGAGTTTAAAAAATGACCTCTGCACTGTAACATAGAATAATAATGATATAATACATGTATATCTATCATATATGTTCTTATATTCATCGAGTTAATTGTTGTCGGAGTAAAGACAATGGTGAGAGTTATTTATCGTATAATATTTACAATTATCTTCACATGGCAAGTTTTTGTTTGTTTGTTCGTTTGTTTGTTTGTACTATAAATTTTGAATTAGAGTCAGACGATGAATTGATTTAGATTTATTTTCGATCAATTTCAATTAAGGTTTTTGATAAAGGTAAACGTTCTTTCAGTAAAGTGTTATCTAAGGTTCAATTCACTCGGTATCGATTTTTTTAAATCAGTGATGACTTATAGAAAAAAAAAATATATATATTCTCATCAAAATATATCCAGTATTCTGTTGTTACGAATCATTGGTAAAGCATCTCCATTAGTAAAGCTTAATGGATCGATGTTTAACCTAAAATTGCTGAACTTGCCTATGTATATATATATATTTTTCACAAGAGTGCAAGTCACTAATTCCTTGCTAAGTAAATTGTAAGTGAAAGGAAAGAATATATATATATATACACTGTACATAAATATATATTTCACAGATATTTTTCATTGGAAAATTGACATTTGGTAAAATCTTAGTTGGTTGTGGAGTGTGGAGGGGAGGTTGGTTGATGAGGTTAGGGAGGGGGGAGGATAGGGGTGATTACTGAATGGTACTTACGAAGTTTTAAAACCTAAAATAAGTTAATCCTGAGCGACCTCTAACGTTCGTTCCCTTGTGATATGAGTTGATGTGCCTCCGCGCTCGAATCGACGTCAACTGGTCGTTTGTAGAGAGACGGAATATACGATATAGTAGCGCAGTACACGGATCAATCAATTCACGTATCGTATTGTAGCTATGTATACCCCCACCTTTCATGGTAAAACAATTAAGCAGAGAGGCCCGGAAAGGGGTAGGGGTGTATTGATGTAGATGTACTCTTCGCAAACTCATGTATACATATTTTTGGCATGAGTGAGTAATGTTGATACATGCGTCAGATTTACTGTCTATCTATCTTTTCTTGTGGTTTGTTACCCCATACCGTGCCTCATTGAAATTAACTCATTTTGTCAATCAAAAAAAGTCGGGCTCTGATTGGACTACTGATCTAGATTATGACACCCCTCTTTTTGTCCTGGTCTATTTGCTCCAAGGTTTATTTGGGGACATACAAAAATGTTCAGAGCTCTATAATTAAAACAATACCTTGGAATTTTGATGCGAGTCTTCATCCTTGACCGACTACTAATTAAAGATCTAAATCCAGACTATTCTCAGCAGTAATTAACACAAAAGCACACTCTCTCCCTCTCTCTCTCTCTCTCTCTCTCTCTCTCTCTCTCTCTCTTTGGTGTGTTTGTAACAAAATGTAATATTCAGAAATACGGTTCATCGTATTGTTCAAATACTAAATGTATGAATCGAAATTTAATGCATTTTACATTAAATATTTAATTCAGGCATTTTTGACATAATAACGGTAGAATCTGATAATTTGATGATCCCGAAGAAGTCATATCCGAACTCATTTCCTAGGTAAAATAACAAATGATTCTGAAAAAAAAAATGCACTAGTACATGTACAATATTGTATCCATGACTAATGCAAAGCATATGTCTCTCCGAGTTCTTTAGGGTCATAAGCATCTTTCAAGTAACGTTCAATTGATTTTTTTGAAATACAAAATATCCCATGTTATCATACTTTTTTCCTAAGAACACATAAATGGGTTTTTTTTCTTTACTTTTGTTTATTTTTTTTTTTCAATGAAGTTGATAATTCTTAATGTAAGCATATACAACCTCGTTTAAGATAAGGTTCAAAGGGCCATGATTTTAGTAATTTTCTTTTTGATACTCTAATGAAAATAAGGTATGCATGAAAAGCGTTATTCTAAAAGAGATTAATAATACAACCATCAAAATAAACAGAAAGACGCTTAGTCATACATCAAGCCCAGATTTTTTATTGAAGAGGGAACAGGGGGGAGGGGAGTAGTCTGTTTACAAACACCGGTACATGAAGTTTAGTCCCAACATTTCAAAAAGTTCAACCAATTAATGTTTACCTATCTGTGCATTTTTTTTAGAGGAACTTTTGCTCCATAGTCAAACTTTGAGTTCTGCTAGTTAAACCAAAAAAAAAAAAAAAAAAAAAAATCCATATACTGCAGAACCTGGAAAGTCTGGGATGTTAATATTAAAAAAAAACCTTTCATTTATTTTTAACTTAGGCATATCAAAGATACATATGTACACATCGATATTATTTTAAAATTACATGTTATTGGATTAAGAGATACTTATATTTAATTTGGCACAGTGTTCATTTGAAATAAAGAAATTCTAAATATAATATGTTTCCTATCGACACCACATTAACATAAAGCTGAATAAATTACGAATAATGAATTTGGCTACCAGACTCCACAACTGTGGCTGAATTCGCCCGACAGACGGCCCATCGGCGAGTACTGAATTATGATAATATGCACATTACGATTCTGTGTTCCATCAGACAATTAGATAAATTATTTTTGAGATCGATCACTGTTCGTTATCTTCTTCTATTTCATTCCTGATTAGTTTATTAACAAATGTATAGAAAAAAGGGATGTTTTCAGTATACTGAATTAATAAAATGATAAATGCAGCTTCCTTTGTCCACGTGGAGATGATAAAAGCTTTAATGCATGAGGGCCGTTTAAGGTGAAATGCTAATCCATGCCAGTTTAAGTCGGTGCTATATGGTAACTCATCAGTCGGAAGTCTTCAACTGGCATTTAAACTTGTAACGTACTTCCTGGCAGTAGCCCCTTTTAATTTTTAGCACAGGTGCTTGTGGATAGACCCTCCCCCTCCCAATATACACCCGGGTCCTAAAATATTTTTATTTGTCTTCTTTCATAAATTATTCTCCATAGCACACATTTACCATGTATTCCATGTGGGGAAAAAGTAGAATTAACGTTTTATTTTAAAAAAATCATACCCGCGTTATTATATGTATAAAATATATAAAATAGGGATATTATAATACAGCAGGTATGATTTTTTAATAAAACATTTACTCTACGTTATTTACTTATTCATTGATATAATTATTTATTTATTTGTTTATTTGTGATTTGAAGGAGAAAAGAAGCGAGAGGGTGATTCATTAGGGGAATTATTAAACTGAATGCTTTATACTCTCAAATACAACAGGCACTCACTATACATGTATATGTAACAGATGTAATTACATGTATGGCGTCTTAAGGAAGCTCTAAACACAATTCTTTTTTTTTTTTTTTGAATTGTAGAAAATTATGTTATACACTGTATAAAGTGTACATATTGAGTTTATCTAGTTCATTTTCAACATAGGGTACATGTACCTACCATATTTTCCCAGGAAAAAAAGTTCAAAGACAATGAAGTGAACAGAAATTACTACTGTTAACTTACATTGGGAAAGATACATGCAAATAATTTAATCAATTACTTTATCTTGGTCTAATATAATGTTAAGGGCAGATCACTCTAAATGCATAAATTAATACTCTTCCGTGAAGAGTGTTGAGAGGTCCCTTAGATCGCGACACAGCCAGGATAGAAATAGTGCGCGTATTAGTGGTAAGAATATAAAACTACATATTTTATATCCTTGACGAAAACGAGACTTTCCTTAGCACTTATTACTCTCCATTTTCCACTAAATAGCTGCAGAGAATGCGTCGCGGACGTTTTGACATGAATGGTGTGGTAGGTTGTTCTATATTAAACATACATAAACTGGCTGAGATAACAAGGTTTAAGCACATCACAAAAAATCTATTAATCTTCGATAATGAGAAACGCCAGCTACATCGGTCAAGCTCGGGGTTAACCTTGTGGTGCAGTACATGCGTTGTAGCTAAAGTACATGCATGCATTTTAGACTGTAGACAGAGGAACTCTGCCCTTGTCCGTTAATATAGCGACCGTTTAAGCAGCAAAAGATATTGAAGAATTCGGTACAGGCCCTTAAAAGGTTAATGTCCACGTGAAGTTTTCTTACCTCAAAAATATCTCCCTAAGACGAACTTGAATATATATCTCTTTGTTCTTATAATTGGCATATGAAACAAAAATAAAATGTTGGACGTTACGTCCACAGGAAGTACCGTGTGTATATTGAGTTATTACTGAAAGACTTTTAACACTTCTTATTTTGGCCCACCACTTCTCATAATATACAACATTATTTATTGAACCTCGGTATTATAAGTACATTGTATATAAAATTTGCTCCTTAAAAACGAAACATCTTGTTTAGTTACGAAAAATTTATTATGAGCTCACTTGAGCTATAACATTAATTTGAGCGAGGTTTGTCCGTCGTTTGTCCGTGTGGCCGTCTCTTGGACCGCCGCAAAGGCGCGAGTTTTTATATACTGTAACTTGTGACGATGAGAGAATCGGCGAAAGCACCCGATGATGATTGGCAAGACATTGATGAAAGTAGTGGTTTTGAAAGTAGGGAGACCAGTCGAAGAAGTAATTGACAACTTACCTGAAAAATCTTTGACAAGCTGAGAGAGAGAGATAGAAAGAGTTTCCAAACTTGAAAATCCTATTTATGGGTGGGGATGCTATACTAATATTTTGATATATTGTATCATAATTATTCTTTCAATGAACATGCATTAACAGTAAAACTTTTTATTTGGAAAAAAATGGGAGGGCCCCCCTCCCCACCTTCTCCCGATACTACGTACATGTAATATAATTTTTACCTCAGAAAACAAACTCTGAATGTTTCGATATCAATATGCTTGCATACATGTATGCGTTCCGACGTTTCTGGACTTTTATAATTAGTCCCTGACTAACTTTCTTTTTGTTTTAAACTGTTTCAAGAAAATTTAAGAATTGCGAAACATTATCTGTGCATCCATTCTTCAGCAAGGTACGACAAATATTGAAATAAGCATTTACATCAATCAGGCTTAGAATATAACTTAGAATTACCATTCTCATAAATATTTTCTCAGAAACGATTTTCATTTTTTTTTCCAATTTTTAACTCTTTTGAAGCAGAAACTCTCTCGATGCAAAAAATTTTAGATTAATATTTGCTCTTCCAGATCATCTTTTTTCTTCACATTGTTAATGTAGATCTTTTACCGATTCATTTGTTGGGAGTAAATTAATTGCGTGGACCCCAAAGACTTTTTGAAACTAGAGAACCATATGCATAGTAAGTGATCGGAGAAAATAATTATACATGCAGTACGTATGACGTAACATTGTGCCCCATGTACACGTTGAACTAACACGTGTGTTTGTATATTTAGTATGCAATAAAAAGTAACAGCGAAATGCGTGCATGTAATTCCTCTGTACATTTATAATTTTTACTTTATTGCTTAAAAAGTTCACACTTGTATGATTTTGATTTAAGTTAGGCAATTGAATCCTCTCTTCCTAAATCACTTAATGTCTAGCCGTAATCAAGAATCATGCGTATTAGGAGAGAATTCACTAAATTCGGGGTGGAGGGTCACAAATTTTCAACAAAAATGTACGTGAAAGGACAAAATTCTATTACTTCTAGTAAATATAAGTTTGATAGAAATAGTTTTCTCAGAAGTTTCTTATAATTTTAGGGGTTTTGCAGTCTGGATCCCCCTCCTCCTGAATCCTCCATTGCATAAAAAAATTAATGCTGAAATTTCAGAGATCTATCCATGTACCTTTCTCTTTAATATGAATAATGCATCTGTATCACTCGTGTAGCGTCTTGTTATTTTAAGAAG